TCAAAGTGATCAGCAGAGTTTTTAACCCACTGTTCATTGTTGTTAATGAGAGCAGATCTTCTACAGTTCATTATTATACTTAGGTCTTCACTGAAAATGTTAGAGTATTCCTCGGTAAATTCCAAAACTAAGGTAAACAGATCCTTGGAAATGGAGGGTTAAAAACCCACGATATCAAATTGGATAAAAGAGCACCCTCTATTGTTGTTAATTCATTCGAACCAATTAATGACATCTGCGGTTCAAGTCCATTGTAAATGTCCAAGGCGTTGTTTAATTTGTTGACTCTATCAAGGATAACTTTGCTTATCTTTCCGATTTCCTTGTAGGTAGTTTGACCTCAAAGTCTGGTTTATGATCTTTAATCAGGACATACGATTCTTTGGCACAGAGCTTACTCACCTTATTGCTAATTTTAACTTTATCAGTTACATTTTTACAGGCAGTGTTAATTTTATCAACTAAATTAATAGTGTTAATATTGAACTTCTTATAATTTTTAGTTATTTTTTTAATTAAAGCATTTCATGTAGCGATTTTTAACGTGTTTTTGTTTTAAAATATATATATATATATATATAATTATTTATTTAAAAAAAAATTTTATAACATAAATATGTTATAAAATCACTACAAAAATAGCCATTTTGTTTCAACACTCTCAGTGTCTTATCAAAATGGCTATTTTTGTAGTCAGAGGGGACACGGCATATAAAAGAAATTGTTATCAAGTGATGATGTTGAATGTACATTCAACATCATCACTTGATAAGACACTGAGAGTGTTGAAACAAAATGGCTATTTTTGTAGTGATTTTATAACATATTTATGTTATAAAATTTTTTAAATAAATAATTATATCTGCTCTACTTTGTATTGAGCACTCTTTTAAGAATAGTATTTGTTGGTTATTGGAATTCATTCCGTATATACCAATCATATACTTGGATATATATATATATATATATATATATATATATATTTTTTTTTTTGCAATCATGAATATGAAATAATCCCAACAAGTATCAAAGCCGATTAGACCAAAGAGAATGTTGGGCGTTGTTGGCAGACAGTTATGTATATAAAAGAGCGGGGAATGTTTGAAGGTATGGGTATCAGAGGAAAGTAAAAAAAAAAAATCTTTCGGTGAGTGGCAGTCTAGGAAAAAGACAACTGACGTGGGACTAGCAACTCCATCCCTACTTGCCATGTGCAGTAACAACGCCGGCCATACTCCACATTTGAAGTGTACAGGATTTGAGGAATAGAGAGAAATTTGGAAAAAAAATACAAATAAGCATTGCTGAGTAAGTGAATGTATTACAAAATAACAGCAGTGTCAATGGAAACACCATCCTTTGATACACCGGTCTAAATTGCCGACATCTTTGTTTTGTGGTTTTTTTTTTTTTTTAACAAGGAAATTAATGTTTTCCTTCCGAGTGAGGTAAAGTCTTACTATAGAATATGTCCCACTCGACTGTAACCTTCTTTAATTTCTTTTTAAATCTGTGGAGGGATGATAAGGGGACAAAGACAGTTTGGCGCTATGAAGGATTGGAATTTGTAGAGATGCATGATCACTCAAGCTCTGAGGGGACACGGCATATAAAAGAAATTGTTTTAAGATTTCACCCCGACTGGTTCTCGTTGTAACACAGTTTCTGTATGTTGTAAACTAGGAAGGCTTATTGAATGTGGAATAACCAAAAGTTGGATATCAAATAGTAATCTTTATAACATCAACAAAATACAATACTCGACACCGGCGTGAGGTGGGTAAACCCACTGTTAGTGGTGGACTATTTAGACACTTACAATAGTGTCCAACGTATTTATGAGGATTGGGACATAACCATTAGTGTTCAGGTACGATATATGATACTGTACAAAATAGAGAAATAGCAAATATTTTGCTATTTTATTGCTAAAGAATCCGTGGTTCATGTTATTAATAGATTACCCTTCTCTTGCCTACATATAGACTTAACACTTGATTTCTTTAATACGCTGCTTATAGAGTGAAATATATGCAACATAAGCTGAAAAGCTTCGAAACATGAGAGATCACCAACTGCCTGTCACACAAATTAATTGCAGGAACTTCATGTTTTATCATAGATTATTCCCGGACCCTCTCAATCGTTATCAATACTGAAGGGCTGATAAGAAATTCTTTCCAGACAGGAATGGCGTAGATATTCGGTGAGTAAAGGATTGCACATGTCCATACCAACCATCTCGATACCCCCCATCGACTTGAATTCAATAGCCCGGTGTGGTCCAGTACGGCTGGCGAAAGGTCACTTTCAGACTGATAAAAGACCCGAAACCAATTACTACGAGAATATTAACGTACACAAATTCACATGGTATGTATGCCACCATTTTATCCGGTGTGCCTTAGACCACTCAGCCACAGAGACTGTCACAGCAAAGTTCTCTTTTCTATTTTAAGGAAAGCACATTTCCTCGTTCAGATTATTTTTGTAGAAATATCTGTGCAGTTTCGTATACAACAAAGAGGGACGCAGGTTCCAAGCTTGCTGGAGGGCATATTTTCTTTATTAAGCTTTTCTATAATTATATAATTATTTATTAAAAAATAATGACAGAAACATGTTGTAACATCACGACAAAAATAGCCATTTTGTTTCAACACTTTAAGTGATGACTTGAGAAGACACCAGAAGTGTTGAAACAAAATGGCTACTTTGGTAGTAATGTTATAACGTGTTCATATCATAATTTTTGAATAAATAATATTTGCTCTACTCTGTGTTGAGCACTCTTTTAAATAGAGAGTTTTTGGTTATTGGAATTTTATTCCGTCTACACCAATTCTATACTTAGGTATATATTTCAAACATGTTTCTTTGAATAATATAGACACATTATGTCCACTTATTTTTTATAATAATCCTTCCCGGTTCTTTAATCAGTTTTTTGATGTTAACGTGAAATTCAAGGAAAACGTCGTAGTTTTTTCCGACCTAAGTACTCTTAATCTCCTCAGTTACTTGGGTAGAAAAAAAATCTAGGGAACCTTCCTTGATAAATTTCACCGTAATATCAAGAAACTAATAACTGGAACGGATTATTATAAAAATAGAAAGATATATCTATATTATTCAATGAAACATGTTTGAATGTAGATATGCTGCATATATATATATAAATTTCTATTTGGTCAGCAGCCTTTCTTTTAAATATCTTTCGTTAAATATGGCAGACAAGGAAAACTTAATTTTTTATTTACTTTTTTTCCAGTGTACTCACATTTTCCCCTTTAGTGTGAGTTAGGGAATGCAAAATTGTCCATTGTCCCAAGCACTGCCAGCCATTTTTGGGGATGTTGTTAATTTCTCTTCATGTTTGACATTTTAAGATGTATTTTTTGTTTTATTTTGCATACCAGTAGGAGAGTTTATTCAGAGCCTTTCGTGTTAAGTGCAGTTGGAATTCGTGTGAGCGACTTTATTTGTTTTAAAAACTTTCAACACGCCGTCCCCACTGTTAAATAAGATGAAGTTGATACTGGAAGAGAGGTGTTTAATATGCTCTCACTCTTTATATATATATATATATATATATATATAGGGGGGACCTCGAGGCGGTAGAATGTTTAGCAAGCTTGTCTCGCTAGAACAATTGCGACTGAGTAGTGAGTTCGATCCGCACTGGGTGTTCCCATACATTCGGCCTTGTGCCACATCTAAGCTACGGTTGGAAAATCACTATATATATATATATATATATATATATATATATATATATATATATATATATATATGTGTGTGTGTGTGTGTGTGTGTGTGTGTGTGTGTGTGTGTACATGTGTTTGTATGCTAAATTTTATTTCTTGGTAAAATTCTCTCAATCTTTTGTTAACACTACACACTCGAATAAAATTTACATTTGTACAAAAATGTTCGTATATACACTTTACTACTTTGTACGATTCCTTTATGTGTTTCTTTAGGACGTAGTCAATCATAACTCTCCACAACTTCCTATCTTTTATTGATCGAAGTCTCTCTTGAATCTTTATGATCACTCTTTGTCCGTGTTCTGCCATCCATTCGCACAAACCCGTTAGGTAAGTTATTCAAGTCTGAACCGACTGTTCGGTTAAACTCTCTTCCTACGGGCGGGAGGAACCCGAAGGAGGCTACGCCGAAGGGCGGAGTCTCCTTCGGGGAGGTAAAACCGGCCCTGAACCCGTTTATACGGGTTCAAATGGGCTATTTTTTGGCCGAGCCTAATGGCTCGGAAATGCCCACGTTAAAAAGGCCTTGTGCCACATGACACCCTCGGGGGGGGGGGGACTGAATATCGTTAGGTAAGTTATTTACAGTTTCCCCAACCCACTTCACTTGCCTTCAGTATATCCTGTGTGTGTTAAATTCTCTCGGCCCTCTTTCCTCACTATGTCGCCGAGATATTTCAGCTGTCTCCTTCTGATTGTAAGTATAAGTGTCCTTTTAGTTTCTATTCTCGTTAGAGCTTCTTTGTTGCTCACATATTTACTCTGTTGGATTCAGAGAATCTGTCGTTTCCAGTCTTTTCTTCGTCTTTTGCCCCATCCCTTCAAGACGTAGGCGATCATGGCTCTTCACAACATTCTATACCTCGTAGCTTTTAGTAACGTTTGTCCCTTTGCCAAGACTTCCGCCATCCATTCACTAAAACTCGTCAAGTCCACCTATCGTCCGGTTCACACTCCTTCCCGGTCTTTTGAACAGGGGCAGAGGTTGATTATCACTTGCCTCCTGTTTAGAATTGGGCTTCCGGTTTCTTCGCTATACTTTTCTCATTCTTCTTAACTACCGGTATTTCCTTGCGTCTTAGTGGCATTATCGCCTTGCTTGGGGTGAACTGATTAAAAAAAAAATGAAGGTAGGTGGCCAACTGCTTTCTCTTTTGATTTCGATATGTCGGTGAGTGTCAAATTCGCCAAGCCTTTCTTCCGCATTATGTATTCAAGCATTTTCAAGCTTACGTCCAAATCACATTTAAACACCGGTTCTCGTACGATCACCGAAGTTAAGCAACGTCAAGCCTGGTCACTACCTAGATGGGTGACCGCTTGGAAATACCAGGTGCTCTAAGTTTGAATATGCGGTTGGTGTAATGTCTAATGGCTCGGAATTGTTAATCGGAGAGCCGAGTTCCAATTCTAGTTGTGTTCGTTATATTCACTTACGCGCAAATACCCTTGGGAAAGGTATAAATCTATTTCTTCTCTCCCAGCTATGGGTTAAGTAGTAAAACTTGTGTCACGAAACCATTTTTAATTTTAAAAAAATGTGTACAAAATATTTAGATTTCGGCATTAGATAATCTGCAAATGGTTGATATGCCGCTAAACAAAAATAACCAAGAAATTTCAAATGTTTTTTTTATCCTGTGTATTCATATCCTATTTGTTTCCATTTTCTTTATCACTTCATTATTACTTACGCCCATAGTATTCTCATCAGCCTTCTGTGGGAACACATTTCTCTGAGAATATTCTCCAGCATTGTGGCCGAGCGATCTAAAGCAATGTCGTATAAGAGATTAGCGATTAGATTAATATGGTATAGCAATTCATTATTCTTCTCTTTTTTTCTTTTTTTTTGGTTTCAAAGGATATTTACTTCCTAATACTTTTCTTCGATTTCCTTCCAATTACACATGTATATACTATTGATAAGCGAAAATATCAAAGCCACCCACTGTCTCTGTTACTCTCTCAAATACATACATATTCGCTCCAAAGGAATACGTATCCACTCCCATTTCCTGACGTCTGCACGTCTGCACGTCTTCTTAAATAATTCCACCTCCCACTTCTAATCACTTCTGCGCATGTCTGTCTGTCTACCCTGGTTCTACCTTCAAGTACGTATCTGACATATTAGGACATTCTTCTTCAACTCACACGCAATCTTCTTTCCTCTTTAACTTGCCCTGAAAACATATTACACTATCACGAATAAACCAGCCATTAACATTTAAATTACATACTTTGGATTTCTGTCGCAAGTGAGGATCAGTAAATTTATCTCGCAAGCTATGAGCGTCTCGTTGTGGTGTATCAGTAAACCTATCTCGAAGAACCTTGCGAGTGATTTCGATCCTCACTGGGTGCGGCTTTAATAAATAGTTTATGGTATATAGAGATGAAGTAAAGTCCAAATTTACTGTCTATAGTACCATTTATTGTCACTCCATTTGGTTACAGTGTTTAAAATGGTTGACTACCGTCATAGTTCTTTTTGTGATTTGAGAGTTGTCGTGTTCCTTCTGGTTGACGGAAATCAATTCGTTGCATTCATCCTTTCCTATACTTTCTCTTTTTGAGTTGTACGTCAGGTAAAACTCACAGTCGATGAATCACCAACCCTTGCATCTGAACTGCTACCTCCACTGCGGCGTCTCTAGTCTCGTACGTGGTTTTCTTCTTTTTATTAGGGCTGACGCATCCGTGTTTCCCGTTTGATTTTTGGCGGTACGTGTTGTCACTGGTTAATATTTTTATGACGTTCACTGACCCACATAAATTAAGTGCGGGTTCATGTACGTTACCGAGGATAGGAACGAACCTAGCTAAATATCTCTATCCATGGATTTTTTTTTCGATTGACATAGGTCCTTCAAGTAGCCATAAAACAATAAATGCTTTTTGTTTCTCTCACTCAAAATTAAGTTAGAATATTTTACAATCCTATTAATTATTCAGATAAGTATTCTCATCTTGATTGTTTTCACTACAATATATCAACGTAGATGGTCTTCAGCTTACATCATTTATTTATAACTAATATGCCACCAAAAAAGATGGAATGTTAAGAAATCCTTAAAGTGAATCTTTAAATATTTTCCAGTTACTTTTGGTCCTTTCACCTTTCAACTTGTCCTGAAAACATGACACTATCAAAAATAAATCATTCATTAACATTTAAATTACAAACTTAGGATTCATGTTCACCATTTTCAAATTAAACAATTTGAGTTATTGTTCACACGCAGACACCTAATGTCTCTAGATCAAAAATCTAATTCTAGTTATCTCCCTTGTATAAACGACACTACAAAGAATCACAAACATTACAAACATAAGCTACACGATTTTATTTGGTGTACTCTACATTAAAAAATCAAAGTTTTACTGATTTGAAAAATAATGTCTGAAATTTCGATATGGAATATTGTTATTAACAAGTCCTGCCATATTGGGCCTCAGAAGGTGATTCAAGAAGCAAAATAGCACTGAAATCCATTAACAAGAGACTATACAAATGCATTTGCAAAGATTAGAGAACTTAGGAAGGACACAAATATAAAATACGACAAATCTGGTAGAAGAAAGCGAGAAGAAAGGACTATTAAGTAGAAAAAGCTCAGAAAGTATGATCATCAATTAAGTGCCATGCGTGATACACGCATAGGCGATCATGTATCTTTCGATACTTGACTGATGAGGCAGATTTTTTTATCGCAGTAGATTGCCATTTCTTTCTGCGGTACACCAGATGCCACCCAAGGCTGTAGAACCCAGTCTGTCCTGCTATTCGCCCATAGTTGGGAGGTGGGAGAAGAAGAGGATTCACACCTTTCCCAAGGGTATTAACACGTAAGTGAATGTAATGGATTCGGCTCTCCGATTCCTCAATCCGTGACGTTATCCATTACTCCATGGTATGATCATTAGCAAGAGGAAATGCCCAAGATTCGAATTACAAATTGGATATATAAACAACAAGTAGGAGCAGCAGTTCGAAAATCTTCTATTATGTGACGTGTCCCTTCAGGACGTAGGCGCTCATGGCTCTCCACTTCCTCCTATCCCTTGTAGTTTTCGATAAGTTTTGTCTTTTTGCTACTTCTCATAGACCCTATTCTGTCATCCACTTGTTTAAGCCCGCTAGGTATGTCACGCGTTGCTTTCTTTTGTCTCACTTTCAAACTATCCGCTCCGTCAGTATCAGATTCTCCAAGCCTTCCTTTCTCATTACGTGCCCCAGAAATTTCAACTGCTTCTTACTGAAGTATAAGCTTCCTCCTGGCTTGCATCCTCTCCAAAACCTCATCGTTGCTCTCACGCTTGGTCCATGATATCCTTAGCATCCTTCTGTAGAACCGTACCTTCGTTGCCTCGAGTCTCTTCTTCATCTTTGAGGAGACCGTCCAACATTCTCTGTCGTAAAGTAGGAGAGTACCTTCTTTGTTACCAACGAAATCCTCCTGACTCATAATACTCTAAGCCTTTTAACAAAGGATGGAAAATGCGACACTGAGATCCACATTGGACTAGCGGAAGAAGCTTTCCAAAAGCTAAGCAAGGAGCTGAGAAACTGAAAAAAATTATTACGAACAAAGAAAAGGTAGTTTTTTGGAAAAAAAGGTTGTGTTTTGCAAAAAAAAAAAAAAAAAAAAAAAAGTTCTGGAATTGAAGGTAAATAGAAACTAACAAAATTAATAAAAAATATTAAAAAATGAGAATTTTTTTTTTTTAATTAGAGAAATAATAAAAATCCAATGCAATTCCATTAATTAAAAACCTTAAATGGATGCACATGTGCATCAATGATAATACACAGCATGTCAAAAGACACATCTATGTGTCATGTCAAAAGACATCTATGCGTCATGTCAAAAGACACATCTATACGTCATGTCAAAAGACACATCTATGCGTCATAACAAGTAATAACAAATAAATAAATCTACGGGTCATTCTGTTCCTCAAACTACATTCATAACATTTTATTTGACCGTGTCAAGGATGTCTATGATAGTAACAGTTTTCAGCAGTTACAATCTGTACAAGTAAGATAAGAGAGACTGTTTTGGGTAAGTGCTCAATCACCTTTCTGTCAGTCATTATGTCAAACAAATAATTATTTTCTCGAATTATTTGGTGATGGGACAGAATGCAGACAGGAATAGATTCTTCCATTTCCCATGGGTACAGTGCTAAGAGAAATGTGAACAATTTCAGATGAAATGGTTCAACTAGATCGTTGTTCATTCTGATAAACGTTGCACTTATTTCATTAGTCTAAAAGCCGCCCCATCGGGAGCCATTTAAGCTAGCTCATGCGGAGATCTCTTGACCGAGCCTACGGCTTGTTCAGGGGTTTGAGATTCCCTAAGTCTTTGCATATTCTCACCACTGGAAACTCTTCCGTTTCATCTGGGTCTTCATTTTCACGGGACTTTCTTTTCCTCGCTGCAGCCTTGGCTCTTTTGGTCTCAATCTGGTCCTCTGTTGGCGGAGAATTCTTTTTTTGCGAGGCGTACAGCTACCGTATGCGATAGACAATAAACTAAAGAAAAACTTAAAATTGATCGTTGTATTTAAGCATTGCATTAATGTTTAAGCTTACTTTTAAAAGTTCAACGATAATTCTTCTGTCACCATTTAATTTAAAGACAATTTGATGTATGTAGTTCTTTACTTTCCGTATAAACAATTATTTTTATTTCGTGGGTGGATTTCACTGGATTTCGCAATTAATTTCGATTATTCCCAAGTTATAAAAATTGTTATCGTACAAAAAATTCGTCGCAAAAAATTGCCGAAAACAATCGTAGTAATGGAAACTTGGGAATCCAAAATGCTGTAATATGAAAATTAGGGAGTTGCGTCCCTTTAATTGAAACTGTGTGTCACAGTGACATTCGCATTTATTATACACACGATATAAAAATATCGAAAAAAATAGACTTAAAGAAAAAGGGACACTCTCTGTCTCTCTCTCTCTCTCTCTCTCTCTCTATATATATATATATATATATATATATATATATATAAACAACGTTTTGGACAATAAAAATATTAAAAATTTTAAATTTTCAAACACACTGGGTTGTATATTAATATTTCTTTTTATTATTTGAATTATATATATATATATATATATATATAAAAAAAAAATTTGGGGATTTAGGCAAATCATTATAGTATTTTCAACAATTCTAGACTCATTGAATTACTATATGAATATATAGTAATATATATATAGTGTATGTATGTAGTAATATATATACAGTATTCATATATAGTTATATATATAGTAATATATATATATAGTATTCATATCTAGCTATATATAT